TCTATCTTTCTGATCCTGCAGCAAAGGAGCAGAAGTAACTTTTGACTGTGTTGATTCAGTTACAAGGGCCCCTGAAGACTGGTTTGGATGAGAGGGACATTAACTCAAAAGGTTTCAGCTGACATCTACTAATGTAAAGTGAATTGTATCAAACTATAAGGAAGTGGACTTTATTCAAATGCTGTTCTTTACTCTTTACTGTCACTTGATAATTCATTTGCTGTATTTTTTTAGACCATTTCTTTGGTATTCCTTCTTTCTCATTTATACCGTCAATATTTTCTTCTTCAATATTGTTATTTGCAATATTGCTCTTTTCCGACCATATTTTGGTATTCCTTCTTTCTTATTTATATCTTCAATATTTTCTCTTTCAATATTGTTTCTAATCATAGAAATTTGATTAAAAAGGAGAATTTATGATCTGTGTTTTCATTCATACAGTCTCAAAATTCAGACTTTCCCAGTTCTTTATGGTAATCTTCTTCAGTTTTGTTTTGGGAAATTAGTACCAGAGATAAATTTTCCTTTTCATTGAATTTCATCTATTCATGACCACTCATTCAGCTAATAGTTGGTGACTTTCAGAGACAGTGATACAAGGTTTTCTTGCTCCTTAGTTTGTGAAGGCTGAAATTTGTTGTGAAATATCAATTCTGATTAATCAGCATGTGTGAATTTAAGCTGTGGCCACTCTGAATATTGATCCAAACCAGTAATTCCTTTTTCAGATACTCTTAAGTAGTCACTCCAAATCATGAAGATTTCTACTCTTATTCAAGAAAAAATATTTTACATGAGGTTACTCTTTTCTCTTTTTCCTTTGATACCATCATTCTAGCCTTGAGGGCTTCCATTAGCTTGGCTTCTTATGCTGCCATACTTCTACTCTAATGTTACTCTAAATGTTACTCTAAAAATACTTCTATTTTCAGATAAGGATATGCTTCAGTAGAAATGGCTTGACCCCTTTAATGAATACCGAATACAGATAATAAAATAAATCACCTATCTTTTAAAGACCAATGAGCAAATTTCCTATTTCAGAGATGACTATATTCAAGATATTAGTTCAAAAAGCAAAAGGCTCCATTTTTTGGATACCATATTTCCTCTTTATTGCAGTAGCTTTATAGTGCCCTATTTAAGGTCTAGTGTTCTGTGTGTCTATAATGTCATCATGCTATAAATTGTTTATAGTCAGAAACTCTCTTCACCTATGCTTAGAATCCAGACAATGAATACACATCCAAAAAGATACTTGGCCAACATCCTTTCTAATATCTGCATTAATATCCTCATAGAAGACATACTACTATTTTAAATCACACTTGGTACATGGCTTTATAAAGTTTACAGACTTCAAGTTTTGTTTGAAAGTATGATAGAAGTGAGGGAAGAAACAAGGAGGGAATGACTGGCATTATGTAAGTAACTCTAGTGTGAGGGATTGATGTCAGCCACTTACGTCAGCTATTCTGCTCAATCTTCTGGCTATAAACAACAAAAAGGAAGTAAATTAAACTTTCCTTAATGTGTGTTTCACTTGACAAAATGAAAGAAACTGAAGGCATTAAACTCTAGAGAATGGCCATTTGGTGGTTGTTATTTCTGTAACATCTTTTCTTGAGTAACATAAGAAATGGATTGCTTTTGCTATTATGCTTGAGTTCCTTCTTGCTTATAAATACATACCACTTCTGTTCTTTTATCTTTTGTGCATTCAATAGTGATAAATCACAACTCTGATGCAGTTTATTTTTGTGTGGAGCTTTTTTGTTTTTGATAAGGTAATGACCAGAATCTGAACCTGTGGGTGTATTTTCCCCTCTCCAAATCCCAATGTAGAGATCAAATAAGAGAAAGTATAGGACTCATAATGTGATGGTTAATATTGATTGTCAATTTGCTTATGTTTATCATTCATTGTGGTATGATAACATAACCTGGAAAGGTTTAATTAGGAAGGAAAACCCCATGGAGCCCAGCCTACATAATAGAAATGGGAAAAAAGGAGAAAGCCTGTTTCTCTCTCTCTGCTTCCTGGATGATTTGTGAGCTGCTCTCCTGCCTTCTCTATTCCTTTCCATAGTAGTCTGAAACTTTTGAAGCTCTGAGCCCAATGTCTATAATTTTTCCTATTGTTCCTTTTGATTGTTTTTCCATGGTGACAACCTTAACACACATAACTGCTAAATGGAGATTATTATTCTAGCTGTCTAGGCAACAATTTTTGAAATAAAAGATTATATCTATTATATATTTTTCACTATAAGGCATCTATATTAGAAATAAGATCTGTTTAAGACTCATTTTGGAGAAAGGCTCCAACTAGAAAGCTATGTCTAAATACTTGCTTCATTTATTAGCATTTACCACTTGCTTGAAAACCAAGACATTCATTTCTATGCTAGAGGTATTGTTGTAAACTATAATTCCCCCAAAGACACTTTGCAAATGAGACCCAACTTACTCTAGCAAAGTAGAATGAATAAATCAGATGAACACATCTGTTATCAATGTGATCAAATTTGAGGGCTGTCCAGTCCTCAAAGTATGTCTGCTAGAAAGCATGATGCCAAGTTGCTGTAAAGGTCTTTAAACAATTAAACAAGATGACAAAGACCTCTTTAGTAAAAGGGGGAAAAAGAACAACATCAAGTCTTTGGGCTTTGATCATAGAATCTTAATGAGCCAGGTATTGATTTTGTTTACAAGCAGTCACAAGAGCCTAAACCGTACTTAAGTACAGCTGATAGGAAGAGATAAGTAAGCACCTATTGAATTAAAAAAAATGTATGCTTGGGAAAGGCATTGAAACATTAATTATCAAGCATTGTTGCAAGAGTAAAACAAGACAATGAACCATAGTGTTAAAGCCAGTCTCAGCTCCTCATCCCTGATTGTCAGCATTTGACACAAAATACAAGTTTTGGTCTCCTCTTCTGTAAGTGCTTACCATTTTGAGCTCATGTAATATTCATAATTCAAAACTTTGACTTCAAATTTTAAAACAAGTAGAATTTTGAAGGCTTCTGTATACATTTTAATTTGTAAAACAAACAAACAAACAAACAAACAAACATTGTTAGCTGCTTCATAGACAGAGTTCCTGTTCCTCCTAGTCCCTACGTCCTTCAGTCCTAAATGAAACACATGCTTACAGTAATTATAAACGGTTTGGCCAATGGCTTAGGATTTTTACTGGCTAGTTCTCTATTAATTAACCCATAACTATTTTTATATTTAATTATTTTAGAGGCACTCATATTTACATATCCATCCTCACCATTCCCTTGATCTCCCATCCTCCCATGTTCCCCACCAACCCATCCCCCAACTCCTCCCCAAGGATAGTGAGGCCCTCCACAGGGGACCTTCAAAGTCCCTCATATCATGTGGGAGAGGGCCTAGGCCCTCCTTGCTGTATCTGGGCTGCAATAGTATCTCTCCATAGGGAATGGGCTCCCAAATCCATTTGTGCTCTAGGGTTAAAGACTGTCTCCACTGTTAGAGGTCCCACAGACTGTCTTGGCCTCCTAGTTGGCACCTACATTCAGAGGGCTTGGTTCTGTCCAATGCTGTTTCCACAGCTTTATGAGTAGGGTCTCCATGCTCTCACCAGGTCACTCAACTGTTTCTTTGGGTTTCTCCAGCACTGTCTTGATCCTTTGCTCATCACTCCTCTCCTCTGCAACTGGATTCTAGGAGTATAGTTCAGTGCTTAGCTGTGGGTGTTGGTTTCTGTTTCGAACAGCTACTGGATGAAGGCTCTAGGACTGGTAACCAAGGTAGACATCAATCTCATTATAGGGAAAGGGCATCAAAGGCATCCTTTCCACCACTACCTATATTTTTAGTTGGGGTCATCCCTGTGAATTTTCTAACATTTCCCCTATGTTAGACCTCTCTCCAAACCTGTACTGTCTCCCTCTATCAAGGCCTCTCCTTTCTTGCCCTCCTCTATTCCTCAGTCCTCTTGTTCTCCCCCCTCCCCTTCTCCCCTGCACACCTCCTTCCCCCCACATGCTCCCACTTTGTCCAGGGGTTCTTGTCCCCCTCACCTTCTTTGAGGGACTATGCAATCTTCTCTTGGGGTCCTCCTTGTTTCCTAGTTCCTCTGGCAGTGTGGATTGTAGACTGGTAATCCTTTGCTCTATGTCTAAAAATCATGTATGAGTGAATACATACCATGGAATAATCCATAACTATTAATCTATATATTTCTTTTTTAAAGTTTGTGCAAAACTATTGTATTTACAAAAATGGCACAAAAGTGAATGCAATAGTCAGTGCACATGCATACCCATTCATGTCTTCAACAAAGAAAGCTGTCCCAACACTGCAGAACCCCAAAAGAGCACTAGCTTCAAAGACAGCTGATAAGCATTGGAGTCACACAAGTCACACCAGAACAGGTAAATATCACTCAGGTAAGATGCTCTTGTTAAAGCTGGAACAGCAGGTTTAAGGTCGCCAAGTCCAAGTAGTTATTCAAAATCTTTTGCATCTCATTTACTTGTGTCTGAATTATGTGACTTGTCTTCCAACTTGTGGTCTTAAACTTCTGTCTTAAAAAATTCAAAAAGGAAATACAGAAGAAATCAATGCAACAGAGGTTCTATTAAATAAGAGTAACATAGAAAGCTGTAAATATGAGGAAGTAAGCCAAGCCAGAACATTGAAGCTGTAGAACTTGCTTGCTACTTGTTGGAGCCAGTCCTGTACCAACTAGATAATATGTACAATTATCCTAGCATCAATTACTTAAGTTGCTGTTGCATGTCCTTTGCCTCAGTGCACTGTTAAACTAACTGAAACCTCTACACATGTATGCTCCCCTACAACAGCAGCACATACTACCACTACCTGCAAAGCTGTCAGTCTCAAATGACATAGTGAGTGAAAGGAAACAAAATGGGTAAGTAACGTAGTAAGGAGAAATAAAGGACAGTAGAAGACTCATGCAGTTCAGCTCTTTGAATCAGCCAGCTAGCTTGCTAGCAATCAGGGATGGTTTTCGCTGAGGAAGGTACTGTGGGAATGTGGTCACCAGTGACCTCTTTTTTTTTTTTTTTTTTTTTTGTTTTTCGATAAAGGGTTTCTCTGTGTAGTTTTGGAGCCTTATCCTGGCACTCGCTCTGGAGACCGGGCTGGCCTCGAACTCAGAGAGATCAGCCTGCCTCTGTCTCCCGAGTGCTGGGATTAAAGGAGTGCGCCACCAGTGACCTCTGTCTTATACAGGGCAGCAGGAATTTGCTGGTTCTTCATTTTTGCATTTGCCACGTTGCAATCCCCAGAATCAAAATAATTTTGCCCTTTCTGCAGTCGTTTCCTTAAAAAATCGGAACCACCAGGCTTTTGTCGCAAGTGTGGATTCCTTGCTTTTAACTTTGCTTCTTCAGCTTTCTCTGGATGAGTCACTTTATCTTCCATTTCCTTTTGTTCTTCCACTGAAGCTGCCTTGGGGACTTGCGCGGACATGGTGCTCCTACAGAAGAGACATTGGGAGAAGACTGATTAATGAGTGGCAAGGCCACCTGCTGCCTTCTGCCTGCCCAGATGCCTGCAGGGTTGGTGGATGCAGTCTTTTGACAAATGAGCCAATGGCTCCCACCCATTGTAGCTCATTGCCGTATCTTACTGGAGAATGCCAGGTATCCTATCTTCCCCGAGCTACATGGCATCTCCCAGGCTACCCACTCTCTGCATTCTGTGGAAATACTTGGATTATTAGTTATGGGTTAATAATTAAGAGAGAGCTATTGAATAAAAAGACTCATCCATTGGCCAAACAGTTTATAATTAATGTAAGCCTCTGTGTATTTATTTGTAACTAAATGGCTGTGGGACCAGGAAGAACAGGAAAACTTCAATCTTCAAATGATGCCTCCAATGTGGGGCAAAGATTTCCATGTAAAACTTGACAAAAGCTTTAAAAGATTCTAAAAAAGAGCAGAATTAAGCCGTGACACACCTTACCTCATTAGCAGCATCTCAGCAGAATGGATAGCAAGTACCTGTTTTCTCCCTACTTATATCCTGTTTCGTTCCTGCTACCTCACTTCCTGTCTGTCTGTACAGATCTCCAGACGTCTATGGCTAGCTAGTTGCAGGCTCCATTCTCTGACATTCAGACAGGTTTTATTTGTATAAGCAAGATATCACCACACTGCTTCATAATTTTAATGATTTATCCATTATAACTAAAGAATCACTTTTTGTGGTCACATCAATTGTGGTCACAATTTAGTATTTCTATAGTTCCCCCCTCTCTTTCTTTCTTTCTTTTCTTTCAGTTCTGTGAGTCACCGTAGCCTTCAATGTTCTTTAAAAATATCCTTATGCATTTTGATATATAAGTTTGTATAATGCTAGTAGTTTCAATTAACCAATTTCATGGGAGACTATTATTTCAAGTGAAGGAGAAATGGAATGCAGGCAGGAATTAAATTCCCTGTTCTTTTAGGGAAAAGTCCCCTTACTTTGACTAGGAAGATCATCACTAATCCTTCTCCTTTCCATTCCTCTAAGGAATAGAAAATAGAACATAGAACTAAAGAAGGAAAGAAATATTCTCAAAATTGTAAATGGGATGAAGGCAATAAAATTGCTGAATTCAAAACCATGTTCTACATGCATGAAGGTTAGCTCAACGTACATGAGAAATCTATGCATGCTAATGTAGCACCATGAATTTTCTAAAATAGAAAGATTTGTGTTAGTTAAAACAAAAAGATCTCTTTTAAGTTTATTCATCAAATTATATGTAACTGAATATGTTTAGGGAAAGTTCAAAATGTAGGCTACTAAGCCCCAGCTAATACATCTATAATACACCATTATATATAAGTTTCAAAGAAAATCATCAGAGAGGAGGTGAAAAGATTTTAAGAGCCAGTGGACCAAGACACCTGCAATGAGATAGTGTCCTTGAAATCGCAACAGTTTGGTTCTCTGCCAAGATCAACTGGTTGTTTCTATGATGGGGGGTTGTTGAGTAACTACTATGCACTGTATTTTCCCAAATGCTGAGCAGCCAAAGACAAAAACACAACCTGTAATCTCAAAGACATTATAAGAAACCTGTATAATAGTTATTTCATTCCCTGGTCTCTTCCCAGTTCTTTTCTACATCCTACCTTTCCCCATACTATCCTCCACACCAGAATGTTGATCCAGAGGTCTTTATCACCTTATTCTTTGACTTCAAGTTGGGTTTGAACAACAGAATAAAAACAACGGATGGTGGGGAGATGGAAGGAACGAAAGGTCAGGGATTTTATTTCCCCTGTATTATTCTCTTCATAATGATAGGGCAGTTCTTTCTTCATTATTCTAGCTCTTGATGTCATAGCAACACACCTTTTATCTTTTGATGTTTCAAGTCTTTGAGGGTTAGTAACAGGCTTACTATTACCAAATCTGGGTCCTGATTGTCCCTTGCCTGGTTCATTAACCTTTCCTATACCTTTGTAAATATGCTTTAGTTCCATTGAGTCGTTTGAATACTGTTCAGCGTCTGAGGAGGATTTGGCTATTATAGGAATACTCACACAACAATATCAGCATAGAAAAGAGAAATATCATCAAAAGGATAGTCTTAAATGACCTTTTAGAGAGACTTTTTTGGTACAAACAGCAATGGGGGGTGGAACTGTTGAGAAAGGTTATGTCACACAGGTTATTAATAATTTAATACAAGAATAAGAGAATTTCAGATAAAGACAAGAGAACTTAGTCATATTCATTCAGAATTTTACTTGTGTCTTATGTTTTTGCATCTTGGTTAAACCATTTTTTTGTTTTTTAAATTTACTTTTATTTGCATTTTGATATATATATATATATATATATATATATATATATATATAT